CCGACTAGTAATCCTTGATTTTGATTTTACAAAAATTTACTCAGAGGTGAGTATATTAATTACAATTAAGTGCTTTCTTATTTATATACAGGGTGTCCCGAAGCGAATAGGCCATGCTTCTGTGCTTCTGCTTCTTTGGATACAAATAAATCGCTTTAGGTTCCTTAAAAAGTTGTTGGCCTCGCTGTTTTTTAATTTTTTTTAAGATACCTAATTAGAAAATGTGACCAAAGTAGGTACAGATAGAAAATATTGTAATTCGGCTACTCCAAAAATTTCCCTACATCTGATTTCAATAAAATATTTTTAAGTCACTTGAAGTATCTCAAAAAAAATTACTTCAAGGAAGCATCTTTTGATTAAAAGTGACTTGATCTTCACTTCCGGACAGCCTGTATGGCTGTAAGTTGATATTTAGACATATATTTTTAAAAATAAAATATTTGTGTGGGCTCAAATCGGATATTTGATATAATTTTTCTATATTTGTGTATGACTGTTCTTGGATTGTTTAAAATTGCATGAACGAGCATGCTTGGATCTGTTGTTTATAGATACTAGTATTAGTGATTTTTGTGTCTATGTATATTTACCGTATTGATGTATATTTCGACATTTTTGCTATTATACATCATCTAGATTTATCGGAAAGTGAACCAAAAAGAATACGTATAATATCGGGATAACTCAATTATTATTAAACCACATGTCAGAATATCAAAATTTTGGCAACAATTTTGTCGTTCTTATTTAAAACGTCAAAAATGACAGTTGTTATGGAAGAAATGCTCCAAATATCTTTTTTATTGCCGTCTAATAATAATAATTATTATTACAATGGATCTTAAAATTTTTTTATTTATAAACGTTACTTATGTTTTATTATACTCTAGTGACAAAATAGTAGGCAGTGATTCATTACTTTAATGTGTGGATCACCCGAGGGGTAAACCGCTCCCTGAATTCTATACAAAAACTTCTCTATACTTCGTCAAACTTCCTCGGACCTTCTCTAGACTGCTTCGTAATTCCTCCGCATTTTTCTATAAAAGATAATACTGCGCATGCGTTTACCGTTCACGCATGCGCAGTTTGGTTCCAACTTCCCGACTTCCTCCAAACTTCCTCCAGACTTTCTCAACTTCCTTGGAATTCCTAAAAACTTCCCCGACTTCCTTCGGAATTCTTTTCAACTTCTTCAATTTCCTTATAACTTCCTCCAACTTCTTCTCGACTTCCTGGGGACATGTACAAAAACTTCCTCAGCGGTTTACCCCTCGGGATTACCTTATGGTAATCTCCTGCTTGTCGCGATTCGAATACATGTAAATCATTATTCAAAAATCCGCATTCATTTTCAATACTTCCGAATACTTGATTAAAATTATGAATATTATGAATGAAATACTCTGTATACAGCTTTAGAATGTTTGAACCTACTAAAATGACAAAACATTATAAAATAGCGTTAGACTCAAATGGGTAAAAAATTCTCTAAGATGTCACTTATAAAGTTTTAAATAAGAATGGCACAATTTTTCTTTGAAATTTTCATGATTAGGTAAGATTGTTATACAGGGTGTTTGGAAAAGTTTGTACAAAATTTAAAGAGGTGAAAGTAGAGCCAAAAATAGTAAAAAAAGTTCCTATAAACATTGGTCCTCCGGAGCACCGTTACTGAGGTGTAGCCCTCCAATGCGGTCTTATGATTCAGATATTTTTTAAAATAACTTTCTTTTTGATTAAGATAATGGAATGAAAATTGTACATAATAATCCTACCATAAGGGTCTATAACGACTATCATAAGTTTCATCAAAATCCGTTATAAATAAGAATAGTTTCTAACTACCCTTAACAATTTTTTCGAATTTTTTTATTCCTTTGAATTATCAAGCAAATAATATTATTTTTTAATGAATTAGACTTTTTTGAAGAAAACATTTCTCCACTTTTTTTTCGAATTCTGCGTAGTTTAGTCAGAAATAATTATTTTTTTAAATAATGTATGGCTCAGAACAGTAACTTTTTTTAAACATTTTCAAATAGTAGATACATCTTTAAGGTGGCCATATTCCTGGCCGAGAAATAGTGAAATTTCTGGCGTTTTTAGGTACTGAAATCTTTAAAAGTAAAACGTGTAGAACAAAAGTAAGCACAAAAATAAAATCCTTGATTAAATCCTTGATAAAATCCTAATGATTGCCACTTTCGCGTGCTATAGTTTAAATTCTTACGTTTCTTTGTCTGCTTAGTTGTGATCTTTGTGCTTGACTTTGCATTTCATTCGATTTTTTTACAACCATGAACCATCATGAGCAGACGCTCTTCTTACACTCACAGTAGTATTACGTTAAAAAAATTATTTCTTCTAAATCATGCTTACGCCTCCTTGGACGGCCAAATTCACGATGTCTTGGAGCTAGGGCTCCTGATTCCATCGTTCTTGCATGAATTTTCCCAAACAATCTTGCAGAAGGTTGCCTTCTATCAGGGAAACGTTGCCGATAGTCTTTTTGAGCCGTCATACTATTTCCATTACAGAAACCATAAATAAAATGCATATCGGCATATTTACGATTAGTAAAAGCATTCATGGTTGTAAAAAAATCGAATGAAATGCAAAGTCAAACACAAAGATCACAACTAAGAAACGTAAGAATTTAAATGATAGCACGCGAAAGTGACAATCATTAATATCATTACAACGAAACTGTCACTATGAGAGATGCCTATACTATGTAAAAATGTTAAAAAATGTTACTGTTCTGAGCTAAACATTATTTAAACAATAATTATTTCTGAGTAAACTACGCAGAGTTCGAAAAAAATACAGAAATTTCTTCTTCAAAAAAGTCTAATTCATTAAAAAATAATATTATTTGCTTGATAATTCAAAAAATTTATCAAAATTCCTATTAAGGGTAGTTAGAAAACTATCCTTATTTATAAGTATTATAACCGATTTCACCGAATCAGAAAGTTATTTTAAAAAATATCCAAAGGCTAAGACCCCTTTCGAGGGCCATATCGCAGTAACGGTGCTCCGGAGAACAAATATTTGTAGGAACTTTTTTTACTATTTTTGGCTCTACTTCCACCTCCTTAAATTTTGTACCAACTTTTCCAAACATTCTGTATAAATCAGCTGTTACAAATTCGCTTCTCACTACAGGGATCTCGAAAACAGTAAGAGATATGAACTAGCTTAAATGGGGGCAAAGTTACGTAATCAGGAGGCCAACATTATGCCTCTAAAAGATCAAGGCTAACATGATTAGTTTTCGAAATATTTTAAAAAAACGAAATTTCGGAAACCCGTTTTTGTTTAATTTCAGCCTTGTTTGAAGTGATATTGAAAAAATAAAAACACTTTCTCAAGGCCACTTTTTGCCCTCTATCGAATGGCACAATCGATTTTTATATGTAACGTTTTCGTCTTTCCAGGACCGTCATCAACTTCATTTTTTTAAATACGACCCTGGAAATTTTATTACATTTTCTGCAAGCCTTTATGACCTTCATACTGTACTGCCTCAGACCGAACCAGATTCAGACGTTTTGTTTCGAAAAATTCATCTTCAGTGTGTTCCAAATTTATCCTCATTTCAACTTTTGACATAACGAAAATGTTTTTGAACATTTACTGAAAGTTTTTAAAGAATAATATTCAGTTGAAGATTTGGTTGTTCATATACATTTTTAAGAATTAATTTGTCAAAATAAAATTAAAATTGTAATTTAATTTTGACGCAAAAACTTATCGATTTATGTATGACCAATGATGGTAATAGTTAACAATAATAAATGTTTTATTGTAACGCATGGTGGTAATAGTTCAAATAACTAGATGGATTTCACAGTTTCTAATGACACTTACAGTGTACGATAATTCAATAAACAAATAAATATAAATAACAAATTTAGATAAATTTGGAACGAATACACTGTAGATGAATTTTTCGAGACAAAATGTCTGAATCTGGTTCGGGCTGAGGCAGTACAGTATTGGGGGTCATGAAGGCTTGCAAAAAATGTAATAACATTTCCAGGTCCTATTTAAAAAAATGAAGTTGATGATGGTCCTGGAAAGACGAAACGTTACATATAAAAACTGATTATGCCATTCGATAGAAGGCAAAAAGTGGCCATGAAAAAGTGTTATTTTTTCAATATCACCTGAAACAAGGCTGAAATGAAACAAAAACGGATTTCCAACATTTCGTTTTTTTTTTAATATTTCGAAAACTAATCATGTTAGCCTTGATTTTTTAGAGGCATAATGTTGGTCTCCTCATTACGCAACTTTGCCCCCTTGTAAGCTAGTTCGTATCTCTTACCGTTTTCGAGATCCCTGAAGTGCGAAGCGAATTTGTAACAGCCTGTTTATCAACAAATTATGTTGTCGAGATTTCACCAAGCAATCTTTACAGTACTTTAAACAAAATGAAACATTAGCACGATACATTTTGTAGTCAATCTATTTTAGCGTTTGGTAAAAAATATCACCGATCTAACATCCCGTTTGACGTTTGTTTGAAAGGAGCGTATTTATGGGGCCGACGCTTCTGCGCCGACCAAAGCTGCTATCGCCAATTCAGAAACCGTTATCGTCGCCCAAAACTGTTTTCGGCATCTGCCCGGATATCTCAGCAGCCACCTCCATAGGCGATTATTAATAATAATTAGCTCGCCGGCGTCTGCTTTATCTGATACACAATTATCTCCCTCATTTCGTACGGCAATAAATGAAATTTTGTATTTGCAGCCGCAGGTACGATAATTGTTATCTTATCGGCTGATAAATTATTTGTAATTCTTACCCGTCCGATGTATGTGCCAAAGTATAACAACAAAAATGTCGAAAATACAACAAAAACGCTGCGAATGAACTAGTTCCTTACGGATTGTTGAAATCGCAGTGGTCCGGAATGTTCAAAGTAGTCAAAGAGGGCTTCGTGGAAGAGACTAGTTACTTATTTCATGTCGTTTTGTCCACAGTGTTCCCAAATGTGCCGTCACAGCCCGGGATGCCCTGCCAAGGAGAGGACAGTAAGTAGACAATTTTTTTTAATCGTTCTACTAACATTGTGGAGGTTGCTTCACACCTGAAAGCAAAGCAGACAGCTTGTTAATCTTCAAGTATCGGACGAGACAGTGTTTTCAGCTGAGAAATGACTCATACGAATGATACGGATACTTTTATTATTCCCGTACAGATCTGGCAGATCTTACATTACGGTTTTTGTAATTTCACCAAATATACCGTGCCCCAATGTTGCTCCATTTGCCATTACAGGGTGTTTAGGTTTTTGAAGAACATCACAAATACAAAAACATATCGAATGATATTTGACATAGATTAATGGAACTAAATAAAAACAAAAAGTCACTAAATTTGTGATTTTACTTCCGAAATTCCGGGAAACAAGTTTGTTTGACAATTATATTTTTTACTCCAAATTCAACTTACTATACAGGGTGTTCCGGTACTTGATACAAAAAATTCGAGTATATACAGATGAGGTCAAAATAATATCAGTTCTTCATATAAATTTTTTCCATACGGGCCTTCGTTAACAAGTTACGGGCCCTCAAATTTGAAAATTAAAATCTTATTTTTATTTACAGTCTGTAAACTATTAACTTCAGCATGATGCAAATTTGGTGATCCATAACACATGCGTGCAGCTTGTTTTTGATGTAAGTGAAACTTCATTGTGCCCAGAACGCCAGGGACGGACTAACCCAGAATTTTTTCATAGATGACGATCGAATTCTGCCTGTATCAAAAATAAGTTCCCTGAATAATTTGCCAACAATAATACCCTTTTGGTTCAACTCGACTAAAATTAACAGTTTAGGAAATATTTGTGATTTTATGTCACAATGTACGCGAGCGGCGCCTCCACCATTTTTTGTTTTTAATTTTTATTTGCACTTAATTACTATGTCAGAAACGTACATATTTTTAAAACAAGAGCCTAGAAAATCTTAATGTGTGCTAATGTAATTTTCACTAACTAAATTTGACAAATACACTTTACACTTAACACTAAATAGAAAAACAAAACAAGAATATGTTGTAAGTTAAAAATAATAATTTTAAAGAAGGAAGACTATCAAAATACATTTTCAATATGGACACTTTCCACCTCCACATATTTCCTAAATCTACGAATGTTATTTGTTTGTATACGAAAAATCATTTCTGAAGTAGGTCTAATATTATTACAATGGAAATTAATTCTTGGTAGCAATTCATCTCTTGCCTGTACTGGAGTTGCGTACACTAAACTTTTCAAGTATCCCGACGTAAGAAGTCCATCGGGTTAAAGTCTGGAGAACGTGGTGTCCATGAACTTGCGCTTCCTCTCCCAATCCATTTATTATTAAACACATAATACATAATTTCGTACATCAAGATTGAAATGTGCATGAACCAAATGTTTCTTCGGGTGTCTAATGGAACATCATCTAATAGTGGCTGCAAATTCTTTGTCAAAAACCCCAAATATCGATGTCCATTCAGACGTTCCTCAAAAATGTATGGACCTATTTATTAACACAGAAATGCTTTTTCATGTACAAACAAATAATATTCGTAGTCTTAGGAAGTGTGTGGAGGTGGAAGGTGCTCATATTGAAAAAGGATGTTCACAGTTTTCTTATTTTCAAATTATTTTTTAATTTATTTTTACGTGTAAAGTGTGTTTGTCAAATTTTGTTAGTGAAAATTACATTAACACACAGTAAGATTTTCTAGGCTCTTGTTTTAAAACATGTACGCTTCTAACATAGTAATTAAGTGCAATTAAAAATTAAAAACAAAAAATGGTGGAGGCGGCGCTCGAGTGCACTATTACATAAAATCACAAATATTTCCTAAACTGTTAATTTCACCGAGTTGAACCAAGAGGGTATTATCGTTGGCAAATTCTTCTGGGAACTTCGTTTTGATGCAGGCAGATTGCGATCGTCATCTATGCAAAAATTCTGGGTTGTTAACCATTGGGCATAGTCCGTCCCTGGTGTTCTGGGCACAATGAAGTTTCACTTACTACATCAAAAACAAGCTGTACGCATGTATTATGGATCATCAAATTTGCATCTTTCTGAAGTTAATAGTTTAGAGACTGTAAATAAAAATAAGATTTTAATTTTCAACTTTGAGGGCCCGTAACTTGTTAACGTAGGCCCGTATGGAAAAAATGTATATGAAAAACTGTTATCATTTTGACCTCATCTATCTGTACTCGATTTTTTTGTATCAAATACCGGGACACCCTGTATAGTTGAATAAATAGAAAATTGTTTGTCACAAATACATTTATTACAAATTTGATTTGAAATACATTGCAACCATTAAAGATAAAAAACTACACACCGTAGATATTTTGAATTTTTAGGAATAGTAAAGAGACGCCACTGCATTTTCGAGTATCTAATGATTACACTGTATTTGAAATTATATTTGCAATAAAAACATCAAAATACATTCGGTTTAAGACGAATAGTTTTAGAACTGCGAATAAATGATTTTAGAGATAGAAGACATCTTTCTTCCTTGAAATACAGTTACGTAGCAAATAATGGACTTAAGATGCGTCGCTATAGCAGTTAATGAACTAAAAAAATCGATGAATTTACGTCCGCTATCTTATTGTCGAAATGTGTAGGTGTCTCATCTCGTGAGTCAATTTTTTTCATTAGCAATATTGTTTTTTTTAAACAATTTGAGTCGAAAATCAGTTTTTCCAATATATTGGAAAAACTATTGATTTTAGAGAAAAGCATTCAGACGAAATATGCGCAATAAAAAGACCTACAAAGTGCCGCCCAGTAGATTAAAATCGGATAAATTGTTTAAAAGTTATTGCAGAAAAGCCTGAAAAAACAGCATTATTTTAATTATCCATAACTTTGTTGTTAGTTTTTGCAAAATTCTATTTATTTATCCCGTCAAAGGCAAAAATACATAACTTTAACCTTCTGTCTCTCCGAAAAAAATTATTAACAAAAAAGGGTTTAGAAAGTCGATTTTATAAACATTTAGATTATCTTCAAAACCGTACATAATATTTAATTATAAAAAGTATAGCCAATGAAAAAACACACATTTAAAAAAACTGTTCCTACGCTCTTTTGGAGCTGAGTTTGACTTTTTTTTCAAAAATCACAGCGCCTCTGTGATTTTTTTGTTCTATTTAAATAGAAAGCTAAGTTTGGTTTTAAGTTTTAAAAATCGACTTTCTTTCAATTTTTAAACGCACAAATACAAAACAGAGACTACAACATATGTTCAAAATGTCCTCAACCACTTTCGATGCACGCACGACTCCTCCGAATCCAATCTTCGCGAACTCGCTGGAAAACACCTCAAGAAAAGGAAATAGTGGTACGCAAAAAACACTCAGACACGGTCCAATTCCAGATACCAACTGAATTGCGTATTACTGGACAGCTTAGCACCTCGTGTTATCCGCCGCGCCGTTGTCACATTGCTCGATATGAATTTTAAATTTATTACAACGCTAATTATTTTTTAGAATTAAGCATAAAGAAGTTCATAAAAGTGATAAACATTGTATTTTATGGTATTCTATGCACGCAGTTATGTAAATATTCCTTAATTAATCGAACTTTTGTACATCAAGTTGGAGATTTAGATAATTTTTTCCTCGGAAATTGTTTAGAACCCATGTTTAGGCTTTTTTGTTTATTTTAATGTAGGTATTCTATCGTCTGTTAAAATTAAGGCAGTCAAACTTCTGACACCCTGTATAGTTTCACGAAAACATGTAATGAATTTTCCTTTCTACTTATATTCTAAATTTAATTTATGTCATGTCTGTCATTACATATCCGAAAATCCACCTCAAAAGGAAAAAAATTGACAGCAGATGTGGCGCCTATTGCATTCTAAAAAACATTTACATAGAACTGTGCTGCACAAAGCAAGTTTAAACAATGAATATTTACAATTGGAATTATCATAAAAATTATCATATTTTGTTTCATAAATCATTTAATTACAATTAAAAAAAATATTTTCTGGCAACATTTTGACCAAAATAAATATGCTAACAAAAAATCCGCCGGGGTGAAAACGAATTTAAGTCCGTAAATTTGTTACTTAATTACCTATTTTATTCTTTTTCATATTTTACCCTCAATTTTAGATTTATTGAAAATGGGCCTTTACATATCTAATTGGCATGTTTTATTCATTTTTTGCACCTCATTCATGAGTATGAATTATTCATTTCATTTTGATTTTATTGTTCTCAAAAATAAACGGTGCTGCCAAGAAAAACGGTTTTTAGTGTCTTAGAAAGGCGTTACGTAATTTTTGATGTACATAAATTATATTCCCCTAAAATGAATAAAAAATCACCGAATATCAGAGAATACCGCCTCCCCATTAATTTTCTGTTTGATACTAAGTATACTGAACTGAATCCAATTTGGACAGCAACTTATATATTAGCTCTAAAAAAAATTATTATCTGTTCGTCTCAATTCGTATAACTAAATGTTACTTTTATATGAATTGCTTGTTTTACATAAAGAGTGGGAATGATATGACATTTACTCAAATAAATTAATTTTGCTACTGGAACAGTTTTTAAATTGTGTCAAAAAAATTACATCATCACATTAATCACTCAAAAATTATTTATCCTTAACAATTTAACGCCATTCTCCTCATATCTTCTTGCCATATATTGCCAGTATTTTCTTATTTTGTGATTCTTAAGGTTTTTTTGTATAATCTCGCTCGGTTCCGGTTTCTATGTCTGTGCACACACGCTAGTTCCTCAAGGCGTTGTCTCAAGATTCAGAGATTCCTTTGGCTACCCAACCATACATTACGCTTTCATTTCCAAGAGTTCACCGGACCTGAAATAAAAACAAAATCCCCACGGAGGAAAATCTGTAGCCCAGTAAGTTTCACATTACTTCTAGGAATCACCTTTTGGCGTACACCTGACGTCTAATGTAATATTAAAATAAATACAGATAAACATATTTTATACAATTAAACTAAA